AGTGAGTCATAGCCGAAAAGAAAACTGAAAATATTATATTTGTAATCTTTTTTATACATACACACATATACGCATACTATGTATGTACATACATAAAGGCATATGTAAGTGCACATGCGCCTTACAGGTGACCGCACAGCAATAAAAGTTAATAGTCTCACACTAATTATGTCGCTGAATTTTTTCGCAGTGTATGTAACGTGCGCCGGCCGCTTTTGTTTATGTTGCACAAAGATTAAATAGAATTATGCCGATTAGTTTTACTTACACAACGTTTAGATTGTTATATTGTATTGTGGAAGTCATAACGCTTTTTATTGTGCACATATTTATGGTAAACAAACATACACCTATACATATATACATACATACTTTATATGCACTTGTATGACGGTTGTGTGTTTGTTGCATACGCAAATGCATTTTTTGTGTTTTTGATAATGCGCCAACTGACTCAGCCAGCGAGAGAGCGTAGTAATCAATTTAAATTCATGAATAATTAAATTTTCGTGCGAAGAGGGCTCAGTTACCGAGAGGTTTGTGTGAATTGTTTGTGAGGAATTTTCCATATAATTATTGTTAATTTTTAGTAACCATTATATGCTGAGCAAGCACTGAATCAGCCATATTTGTTATACTAATTTTCTAATATCAAAAAAAAAATAAAAATAAAATATTTTTGGTTAAATTAACAAAATTAACCAATTTCTTTTTTAATCAATTTTGTGACTAAAAATATTTTTAAACTTAAAAAATTACAAATTTTTGTGAATTTAGTGAACAATTATATAATACATTTTTTTGTGCACATATATATTTAAAATTAAAAAAAAAATATTTTTAACACTAAAAGTTTTTTAATTTGATGGAAATACTATTTTTATTTAAAAAAACTTTGTAAACAAAAATCATTCTAATTTGTGCAAAAAATATTTGGAAATGGTTTAGTATAATACTATATACATAAATATACTTATATACATATACATATATAATATATATATATTTAAAAATTAACTATATGACTAGTTTTTAAAAAATATACATATGTCTATCTGTGTTGTAATATTTTTTTAATTTAGAGGTTCGTTTTTTAAATATTATCGAGTTTATTAATATTAAATTACTACAAAATTTATTATTTTTTATAAATTTTGCAAACAAAAATATTTATAAAATTTAAGTTTAATAAAGTTATTGAAAACACTATTTGAAATTTAAATCTTTGTAAAAAAAAATTATTTATATAAAAATGGTAAACAAATTTGTTTTAAGATTTTATAAAACAAATAGTTATTGCAATATAATTTTTGTTGATTTTTCAATTTTGAACATAAATTTCTATAAATAAAATATTATGCAACAAAAAATTGTTTAATCATTAAACTTAAAAAATATGGTATATATAAATATATCCAAAAATATGAATTTTATAAAAATATTGTGTTGAATTTAAATTATTTTTACTTACCGAATGTAAATGTTACTTATTTGTAGTTGTTGGGAACTCGCCAAAAAATTTGAGGATTCCACAACACGATACTGATTAATTTTTGAAATTTTAAATCACTTTTTTTTTGCAATTTTTATAAAAAAATTTGTTTAGAATCGAATTCTTAAATATAGTTTGCAGAATATAGACATTTTTTAAAATTTATTTTTAAAATTTTTGATATCATATTTTTTAACCTTATATTTCTCAAATTAAGTTGTAAAAAAAATTGTTGCGCAAAAAACAGTTTTATGAAATAGTATGTGTCAAAAATAAATTTTTGTTAATAATAAAAATATTACACGTAATTTACAATTAATTTTTTTAATATAAAAAAAGTCCAAATATAATTATAGTATTGTATAATGTGCTTAAAATGAAATACGTTATATAAAAAATATTTAAAACTACTTGTTTTGGTAAGAAAATATTATTTCGTACAAGAAAAATATTAATAATTATTTTTAAAATAATTTATAATTATTTTTTGTAACAAAAATAATATAAATCCAACCATAATAATTGCATTATTTATCTCCACAAAATTATATAAATTTTATATAAACAAAAATATTTCAATTTACATTATTTTGAAATATATAAATAAGTATCTAAATTTTGTTTAAAAAAATAAATATTTTGCATAACCCTCTTTTTACGTTTTTTTTTAATTTTGATCAAATGAGAAAAAAAAAAATTTATACAAATTTCTCTTATCCAATATGAAAAATATTCCCTATGTCACTGTTAACCGGCAGATCTGCCAACACCTGCTCATTAAGCTTTATATACATATTTGCCCCACTGACCGCTTATGAGCGTATAACATTTACTTACTAATACTGAATCGAGCAGTAGCGCAAGTAATTGACTACACTTCTACACTCTCACTACTATGTAATTGCATGCGTACAATAATCAGTATAATATGACGGACGCGCGGTAGTTACGATTTAGTATTGCTCACCGAACACTTACTTATACGAATTTTTAATATATATATAATGCCCTATAGGAAATTTATTGAGAACTCTCAAGCAAATATAGTATATACTCGTAGATAAAGCTCTAAGACCTTTTAAAAGTTCACTTGTTGTGATTTTGGTTTTAAAACGGCTAATTCTTACATCGTTTTCGTCTTTTAAGTGCTTTAAATTTAATAGCAATTATGTCACATTAGTAGTTTGCCTAAATTGTTCCAAATTTAGGTCCTGAATAATTGGTAATGTCTTCTGAATTGATTGAAATATATAAAATATTAGAAAGTTGTGACAAATAATTTAAAATAACTGTATTTAGTATAAAATGTTTTCTAATGAAGAAGTTTGTTTAAATATTTTTTCCTGCCGAGTATGTCTTAAATTAGTAATAAAAAGTAAATAAACAGGTAAGAATTCAAATTGGAAATATTTCAAAATTAATTTCTGCTTTGAATTTAACCATTTTTTCCTATAGGGCATCAAGCAAACATGCATAAAAATTAAAATAACAAGTAAGGAAGGGCTAAGTTCGGTTATAAGTTATAGGCACTGGGGTCCACATATTTAGTACTTAGGGGTTTGAACAGTTTTGGTTCGATTTAGACAATTTTTGGCCGCAAGGTGGCATACTTTAATTGCATTATTCACGCAAAGTTTTACCCCGATATAATCATTGCTACCTGATTTGCATAGTGGAAAGTGAAGGAATCAGATGGAATTTAAAATGGTGTTATATTGGAAGTAGGCGTGGTTGTAGTCCGATTTCGCCCATTTTCGCACTATGACATAGAAACATAAAAAGAACGTTATGCACCGAATTTGGTTTAAATCGGTTAAGCAGATCTCAAGATATGGGTTTTCACCTAAAAGTGGGCTGTGCCACGCCCACTGTCTAATTTTGAACGCGGTTCCTATAAAGTCATCTTATACCATTTTAGAGATAAAATTTAATGTCTCTGGCGTGTTTAGTGCTTGATTTATCGCGCTTTTAGTAGTTTTTAACAGTACCGTTATATGGGGAGTGGGCGGAGTTTCCCCCCGATTTCACCCATTTTCACATCGTCAAATAGGAGTGAATTTTGTTAATATAGCATTAGCGGTTTAGGAGATATGCACATTAAACCTATTAGAGGCGGGACCACGCCCACTTTTTAAAAGAAAGTTTTAGCTGTAGATGCCCCTCCCTAATGTGATCCTGTGTACCAAATAACAGTCTTGTATCTTATTGCGGAGCTTAGTTATGGCAAGTTATTTGTTTTTGATTAATGGCGTTTTGTGGGCGTGGCAGTGGACCGATTACGCCCATCTGCAATACCAACCGTCTCACGGTACCAAGAAACATGTCTACCAAGTTTCATAAAGATATCTCAATTTTTACTCAAGTTAGAGCTTGCACGGACGAACGGACGGACGGACAGACAGTCACCCGGATTTCAACTCGTCTCTTCATACTGATCATTTATATATATATAACCCTATATCTAACTCGATTAGTTTTAGGTGATACAAACAACCGTTAGGTGAACAAAACTATTATACTCTGTAGCAACAGGTTGCGAGAGTATAAAAAGGAAATGACCTAACATATTAAATAGATTTATTTAATTTGAATTTTATCTCATTATGTATTTCATTAAAATTTTCTTGCAGGGTATACACATAGCTAAGTTAATAATTAAAATTAAATAAGAAGAGAGCAATATATAATATAGAAAATATTAAAAAAAAATTTATCATAATGAAATATACGAAGTTTTTTTAATTATTCTTACAGGGTATGTAGGTTAATATGCTCATAAACAAAAAATATAAAAAAAAAAATAAATATCATTTAAGCAATTAAAAACTGTATTAAAATATTAAAATTATGATTTTGATAACAATCTCCTACAGGGTATGTAGGTGAGCATGCCAATAAGAATCATTAAATGAAGAAAATTTTAAATAATATTAAAAATTTCCTTCAAAATTTGTATTTAAGTAAATATGTGATACAGGGAATGTACGTAAACAAACCAGTATTAAGGTTTAATAAAAAAAAAAAATAAGTCCATAATTTTTTGGAATAGGTAAAATGGCATTTGAACAAAAAATTTAACTTCTTAATTAAAATTTTCCGATAGGGAATATGCAATCAATTAAATATAAAATATTAAAAATTTTATTTCATCATAAGCATCAACTTAATTAAATTTTTCCTGCAGGGTATGTAGGCAAACATGCTAATAATACAAACTAAACAAGAAGTACGCAATATACATACATAAAGTATTAAAAACTTATAGATTTGGTAAAAAGATTTCCTACAGGGTATGTAAGTAAACATATAAGTAATAAAATTGCTTATGAAAATGAATGTGCTTTTAAATATTTTATTTAATATCGTCAAAAATTTTATAAGTTCAATTAAATTTTTCCAACAGGCTATGTATAGCTGAATAAAAAAATTTACCATGAGAATGAAGATAAATATAAAAAAAAATATTAAATTAAATATTGGCAAACATTTTAGCTCAACCATATTTTCCCTACAGAGTGTGTAGGAAAATTGAGCGTGCCATGTAATCGGAAATTAATACATACTAGTAATAGAATTTTATACTGTAAAAATGAGAGAACCAAGTAATTACTACCGAGAGCACGCAAAGAGTTTAAAAAGAGTTGGAAATACATTAAACAATGGCACAGTGTGTCACTAATACCACAAATGTTAAAAAATGTGAGCGCAAATTTTGTTTACGGGCGGAAAAAGCAGGTGTGAGTGCTTTTTTGTGGAGTCAAAAGTTACGTCTGCCTCATTATTATTATTATTTGGTTAGCTAAAAAATTATTTTTGATTTGCACAGTTGTAAATTTGCTGCTACTTATGTGTATGTGTGCTGTGACTGCTTACTTTATATGGAGAATGCGTCGCCGGCGTTCAATGCTAGTTTATTAAAGGTGAACTGGCGGCCAAAGTCGGACGGACAATTTGATTGAGCATTACGTTGAAAGTGTTGAAGCGGAGCGCACAAAAACACAGCGCTGGTGTAATTGTTGAACAGCGCTAAATGTGCTACTAGAATTTCTCGAATTTTTGGAATAATTTCGAAATCGTGCAAAAACGTTATTATACAATGTTATTGCAAATGTTGACGTTTTAGTGGAAAAATTTACTTAATTGAAACAAAGCTTTGCAAAAAAAATACAAATAAAAAAATTGTAAAATTAAAATAAATCAAAAAAATTAGAAGTAAAAATTAAATAATTAAAAACAATTAAAAATAATTATAAATAAAAAGTTTGAAAAAAGTGTCGTAAAACTAAAAAAAAAAATTAGAGAAAAATTTTAAAATAATTAAAAACAATTTAAAAAAAAAACCAAAATATACTATACAAAATTCTAAAATAAATTACAAAAAGTTCTAAAAATGTTTACTACGCAAGCCCGTTATACCCGTCGTCACTCTCGCTTCGCCTTAGTACATATGCTGTTCTTACTAGCAATATGCGCCTACTCCGTAGCCAGTGTGCCAAGGTTCGCGGTGAGTACACGAAAAGGTCGTGTTTATATGACGCGAAAAAATTAAAAAAAAAAATAAAGAAAATAAAATAAAAATAGTAATAAATACGCACATATTTAATTATAAATGCGCATATTTGATTTAGTTATTTTTAACACAAACAGCTCGCTATTGAATCGCTTGAGGCGGAATCGTCGGTCGCCAGCAATTCGGTGGAGGATTTCGAGGAGAGTTTGGCTGCTGACACGTTGCTGGCAAAGGACACGGTATTGAAGAAGAATCCGTCGAATATCGGTAATAAATTGAAGGAGCTGTGGGAGCAAATACCTGAGCACACGTTGAATGCGGTGGATATAAAGAAGTGAAGGTGTTCAAAAGTAGCAAAAGTAATTACTGGCGTTGGCTGGGTGTTATATGCAATGGGGGAAATGCGGTGAGGGGATTAATACAATCAAAATATGATGCAAAAAGCTGTCAAGTGCTTATTGGCTGAATATTTTTGGAGGTTAGTGTATAACTATGTTAGTAAATATTGAAAACTTTTTTTACGACGTGTTGTTGTAATGCATAAATTTTCTTGCAATTTGTCTCTTTGCAGCGCAGAAGTCGACTATTAAACTTTAAATTAATGAGATTGAAAACCAAATACCGACAAATACCAACGAATTAAGTTAAAAAATTGAAATTAAAAATTGACATCATTTATTCTCAAGCACTTTTAGGTATAAGCCAATATTTTAAAAACTTCGATATGTATTTTGAAATAATATTAAACTCAAATACGTAATATTCATTCCAATACTAACATACTCATATATCATATTTATTTACAATAATTGTGCATTTATCTATTACAAATAAATTAAATATTTAATAAAATTATATGCGTAAGCAATTGTTGAAATTGCTGAGCAGTTTGCTAATACCATACAAATTAAGAGGTAAATTGAACTCAATTTAGCATATAATGGGCGTTTTTTTGGATACCTGTTTTTTTCAAGAAGAAATAAAACGCATATAATTTATATGATCAAATTTTGTTTTATCATGATTGATTTCAGATATGGATCGCCGCGGCTTTACAGCGATTGAGGCCGCATGTCAGCAATAACGCGTCAAATATTTCCTTTAAGGCCTCAATCGTCTCGCGCTGATCTGCGACTTCACATAACGTCACAAAAAATATTACAGCGATGTTAAGCCATGACGCTAAATAATGCGCTCACTAAGACTTTCCTTCATTAAGTTGATTATTTCGTTTGCTATGTGGCAGGTAGCGCTATATTGCTGAACCATTAATTGTTAGTCTGTTAAATTTAGTATTAAAAAGCTGAACCAATTAAGACGTAAATTGAACTCAATTTGTCTTATATATGTAGTTAATGGTGAACTGGTGAAATCACCTTGTGGGAAACTGCTCTACTTTGGAAGTGAGCGCTCGGACTCGAAGGAAATTTCTGGTTGAACATTCCTTTGTAGATCATGTTAAATATAACTCAAAATGAGTTGAAGAAGTCTTATTTGTGTTTTTGGTTTGCCGAGCCGAACGATCTTTAAGTGACGCATTTGGCTGCTAAGTCATATTTAATATCTGCGCAGCGAGCGCAAGGGCGATTGAGATTGCCTCATTAATGTATTGAGTTTATCACGAAGTAGTAGTCCGTATCGACTTAAAATTGGTTTGAGTCAAAAAGCTGATGCATTTATATTTAATATATATGTATGTATGCATGTATAAGCAAGTTATGTAAATTTTTTAAAACTGATAACAAGTCATTAAACTTTGTAGATATACATTTTGTACGATTTCAGTTTTGTTCACCTAACGGTTGTTTGTATCACCTAAAATTAATCGAGTTAGATATAGGATTATATATATATAAATGATCAGGATGAAGAGACGAGTTGAAATCCGGGTGACTGTCTGTCCGTCCGTCCGTCTGTCCGTCCATCCGTCTGTCCGTCCGTCCGTGCAAGCTCTAACTTGAGTAAAAATTGAGATATCTTTATGAAACTTGGTAGACATGTTTCATGGTACCGTGAGACGGTTGGTATTGCAGATGGGCGTAATCGGACCACTGCCATGCCCACAAAACGCCATTAATCAAAAACAAATAACTTGCCATAACTAAGCTCCGCAATAAGATACAAGACTGTTATTTGGTACACAGGATCACATTAGGGAGGGGCATCTGCAGTTAAAATTTTTTTTTAAAAAGTGGGCGTGGTCCCGCCTATAATAGGTTTAATGTGCATATCTCCTAAACCGCTAATGCTATAATAACAAAATTCACTGAAAGCAAATGTTTTTAGCACTTCTATTGACGGTGTGAAAATAATTGAAATCGGGTGGCAACTCCGCCCACTCCACATATAACGGTACTGTTAAAAACTACTAAAAGCGCGATAAATCAAGCACTAAACACGCCAGAGACATTAAATTTTATCTCTGAGATGGTATAAATTGGCTTTATAGGAACCGCGTTCAAAATTAGTCAGTGGGTGTGGCACAGCCCACTTTTAGGTGAAACCCCATATCTTGAGATCTGCTCAACCGATTTCAACCAAATTCAGTGCATAACGTTCTTTTCATGTTTCTATGTCATAGTGCGAATATGGGCGAAATCGGACTACAACCACGCCTATTGCCCATATAACACCATTTTAAATTCCATCTGATTCTTTCACTTTCCACTATGCAATTTAGGCAACAATGACTGTATCGGGATAACACTTTGCGTGAATAATGCGATTAAAGTGTGCCACCTTGTGGTTAAAAATTATCTAAATCGAACCAAAACTGTTTAAGCCCCTAAGTACTAAATATGTGGGGTCCTATAGTTGACCTTCTACCGAAAATATCGGTCAATCCACAAAGAAATTTCAAACGAGTATACTATTTGACTTTGCGAGAGTATAAAATGTTCGGTTACATCCGAACTTAGCCCTTCCTTACTTGTTTCTTATTTATTTATTATTAATAATTATTGTTCACAAAAAAAGTAATTATAGATGATTACAGGTAATGATCGAAGAGCTAACAAAAATTTTGAAAAAATGGTGGCTTCCCAATAAAGAGTACAATAATTTTTTTGTGAAACAAGAAAAAATCGTATTTCTTCGATCATCCCTGACAAATATATCTAAGAAGGCCGTGTAAATTTTCCCAAGTCAATCGGTTCAGAAGTTTCGGAAAAAATTTGCTTACCGACACTAGAACAGTGTTTCGACAAAAACGCGCATAAAAATTTTGAGAGCCGATTACACTAATTCAAAAAGTTCTTACAAATATGCTCATATTTCAAAATATATTCGTTTTATTATATTCATAAGTGGATATAAACACTTAAGTAACTTACATTACTGAGACTTATTAGAAGGTAATGCGATCATTATCAGATTCATTCCAAATATTTTCAAAATAAAATTAAAATGTGCATAATAATGGCACTAGCAAGATCAAATCAGAAGGTCGTGGTTGTAACTTTCTGCCGACCTCAGCTATAAACAGAGCATATTAAGTTTGCCACGATGTTTGTAACATCCAAAAGATAACGTCGGATACCCTATAAAGTATATATACAAATCATCAGCGTGACGAGCCGAGTTGTGTACGCGAACTAGTCCCTCAGTTTTTGAGATATCAATCAAAAATTTTGAACTTTTCTCCTCAAAAAGCTGCTCATTTGTCGGAACTGCTGATATCCGACCACTATAGCATATAGCATATATCATACAAACTGAACGATCCAAATCAAATGCTTGTATGGAATATATAATATGAATTTTTTCATTTGACTAGTTTTCTTCAAGAAATTTGACATGAGTTATTGTCTAAGATATTAATGCAATCCTCCAAGAAATTGTTCATATCGGATCACTATAGCATATAGCTGCCATACAAACTGAACGATCGGAATTTTCAACTTGCATGAAAACTATTTCATTTGACGTTATCTTCACGAAATTTAGCATGGATTATTGTCTACGGAAATAATACAATCTCCGAAGAAATTGTGCAAATTCTTCAAGTTCTTTTAAGTAAGCTTTTGTGTTTGTGAAGGGTATTCTAGCTTCGTTGCAACCGAAGTGAACGTTATTTCTTGTTATTTTTATTATTTGGTTTCGATTCTTCGCTGATGTTTGTTTAAGTTTAACTTCAGTTTCATATGTTATTTTCGGATTTAGTCCAAAAATATAAATAATAACTGTCTCCAAGTGCATGTTGAGTTCTTTTGTTAAGCTTTTATATAGAATAGCCGTTATATATTTCATTTTGTTTAAAAGAAGATTATCCAAAATTTTTATTGCTATTGCAATCGCTACTGACTACACGTGAAGTGTGTAGGGACTACTCACTCAGTGAAGTTCGCTAATATTAGTTGTCTTCGTTTCGCCACTACTCTACTCTGTTGCTCTTTCGTCAAAGAAAAACAAATAACAAAATTTTTATGTTGAATTCAATACAAGAGGCGTGAATATCTCATAAAATGTTTCAATCACTTGCTACACTAACTCTGTATTATTATACCAATTTATGCCAGTTGTTTGTTCTATGCGTCAATCTCCAAGTTTTAGCTGATTTTTATATAACTCAGCAGCTATTAATGCGGATTCGGTTGAAAAGTGTGCCTATTTATATAAAAATGTGTGTCTGGTACTACTACCGTTATGTCTGCGTAGTCATCCTCAATCGGTCCCACAAAGCTTGTGAAGCAAGTACGGTCTATTGCTATTTTTATTATTTCCTTTTATACTTGATATACATATACATAGCCACACACGACAATTTCTTACCCCGCCCAATGCGACTTGTGTCTTGGCGCGTCTTGTAGACTGACCACTGACGCGCACTTCCTTATTTCTTAAGTTGAACCACTGAGCTCCTTCAATTTTGCTGTTGTTTTTGTAGTAGTTGTTGGGTAGGTATTGCTTACATATGTACATAGTTGTTTTTGGTTTTGTTGCCTTTCTACTGCTGGTCAACTCAAGTGCTTGCGGCACACTCCCTTTTTAGCTGGACTAACTTGGGGTTGCAAAGATTGCGCTTTTCCTTCGAGCTTGCTTGGCGCGTGCGACTATAAGTTGTGCACATGTATATATTTTTATACTATATATTCACCCTTTCACATACGTATTTTGTAGGCCATAAGTTCAAGGAGGCAACAACAAAATGCTACGTTAAGTGGCAGCTGGATATTCTGTTCTGAGCAGCATGCTTCCTTCAAGCTTTTTATACATCTTGAATGTTGTTGTTATTTGTTATTAAGTGTGTGGGAATTTGCCACTAAATCTTCCACTCAACTCGATATATTATTTCTTTATTCGTAAACCTGTGTTTTGGGTTAAATATTTTGTGCTTGTTTTTATTGTTGTTATAGTTTGATAGCAGTTCGTTCTAACAATTTTCTACGAAAAATTTGTTATTAAGTAAGAGTTTGGTTTGCTTATGAAAATGTCTCTTCTTTGACTTCATTGCTTATTTTTGACTCATTCCTCTTATTATACCCTTTCTTTAGCTTTGGTCAACGTCCGCTTGTTTGCTTAGTGCTTCATTGGTTGTGCTGTTTGTTTAATATTTTGTTTTGGCTATTTATTACTTCATTTGTAAATGGTCAATCAGATTGACATTAAGCTTATGTAAGTATCTTGTATATTAGTGAACCCAAAATGTGGATGATTTCTGAACTCCAAAAGGTTCTCAAATAATTTAAACCAGTTTTAAAACATTAGAGACCTTTGGAAGTGTCCCAGAAATACAAAATACCCAAATTATATGCTATTAATATATTCTGTTTCTGATAGCTACCACGAACCTAAATATGCTTTTCTGACAGATACTTACAATAATTTAGTCAATTAACTAATTGTATGCGAAGCTTTAATTGTTGGGTAACGATTAAAGGTTATAACGAGTTTTTAACGAAGCAGACTATACTATTTCTTCTTTAACTATATACTTTTGTCTGCTCATTTTATAATAGTCCAACTCGATTTTAATAGCAGATTTAAGCACTCCAAAAGCTCAAT